TTTTGTCCACTAAAAGATGCATATTTCAATGTAACTGGGAAAAATTAGAGGTAGACGGATGAAAGAATTATTACCGCATACATGCACCCATTAATGAGAAAATCCTCGAGCTCTCATACATTGATAACATCTAACTCCTGCATAAGTTGATGATACGGTAGTACCTGGAAAATAATTCAAGAATATAAGAGAAAACTGAATGCACAACATGGGACATCTGTGTATATAAAAACCGGATATCAACACAATTGGGACCTAGACACCTAATATCAGGATATGATGAATCACTACTTTACAAATACTTAAAAAGGTTCTAGAAGCCTCGTTTGGCACGCCGTATAAAGCATCGGATAGGATAAATAATACAGGAGCAGTTGTTTGGTGCACTCTCGTACTAAATAAGCACCCACTTAATTATCCGGCCCATCAAATTTTATACGGTTGACACCGTACTATTAAAACAGCCCAAAAGCTCGGGATAATTAGTCGGGGCGCTGTCCTCTCCAACTTCACGAAGCCGCCGTTAACGACTTCTCAAAGTGGGCCTTCGAGCAGTTCCTCAACGAGTTCTCCACCCTAGGCGCCACTCCTCTGCAGTCATTCGCCGACTAATTTCCCGTGTCGTCCGACGGCAAGCACACAGAGGAACAAAGAAGAGAGTGAGAGAGAGACAAAAGGAGACCAGTAGCGAAACAATATTCCACAGGGATATACAGAAAGGGGCGGACGGAAGCTGAGGAATTCGCCAACTGGAGGCGTCACTCAGCTCTTCCCCCTCCTCCAAATCAAATTTTGTCAATGCTTTTCCCCAACCTAATGCCCAAAATCAGTCAGCCCCATTTTTCTCTCCGATGAGTGTTCTTGGTTTGTTGAAAAAAAGGTGTCCTCCGTGAATTTCCTTCCAATTGTTTTTTAGGACAAATAGAAAACAGAGTCCTTTGTGTGAATTTTCTTGGTTTGTGGTGTGTTTTTTTGCTGGGTTGATTTGTAGCTAAAAAAAAGAGAAGGATTGGGAAAAAAACGATGAGAATTTGAAAGGTGGGTTTTGTTGGGTTTCTTGTTGCTACCTTTGTGGTGGGGTTTAGTTCAGGGGAGCAGACGGGGAAGAAGAAGAAGGGATAGAAAGGGAGGGAGTTTGGGGGGGTGCGGCAGAGAGATCTGGAACAAGAGAGATAATTTCCATTTTTTTTTTTTTAATTTTATTTTAAGTTTGATTCCTTCTATCCGGTATAATACCAACTATTTATCCTATCCGACAGAAATAGTCAATACAGTCCGAGCTGCCAAACGAGGCCGAAGACTCTCTCCATGGTCCTTTAGCACAACAATCTCATGATATGTTCAATCAAAGGCATCAGATACTAAGACCTGTAAGTCCACTATTGTTCTGAATTTTGATTGGAACTAATAAGCTTCTGGCATTCCATATAACTTTTCATATCATCGTTTGCAGTATAAGGCACCATCATCTATTACATTCAGAATTCAATTGGTAACTGCAGTCTTTCCTCCAAGTGCAACTAAAACAAATATCTGTCCATAAGACTTGTCTAAAAGTGATGATAATTTTTCCTCTCCTTTCATTTTTGATGACATATTTTCTGAAGCATGGAGGACATCAAGTACCAAAGGTGACAAGCTCCATATATTCACATTGGAAAACCATACAGCCATAACCATTACTACGCAATCAGAGATGTATATCACCAACAACTTTTCAAAGGATTACACATTTAAGGAAACATACCTTGTTTGTCTCAGCCAGTGTAAGAACAGTAAGCTGTTTCAGCTTTAAGACTTGATCAGGGACCAAATGTGGAAGACGACTGGCATCACCTGCAATACATTTCAGTTTCTTAAATTCCATAACAATGCCAAAGAGATGCTTAATTTCTTTTTTCATAGAAAATATACTCAGAAACTTTATGGGAAGTAGTTCTCCTGGGAATTGACAATATCTCCCGAATTTCAAAAATTATTGAAGTAAGGAAAAGCTTAAATGTTATGGAGGGAATAATAAAAGACACGGTAGTAGATTTTAATAAAAGATACAGCAGTTGCTTTCAAACAAATGTGCCAGTTGCCCAGTTTACACTTCTTCTAACAAAAATATGTTGCTGCCTCCATTTATTCATCTTATCAATGAACAAGTATAAGAAAACATCTTCTTTGACATCTCCAAAGCAACAGTAAGAAACAAAAACTGGTGATGAACTGCAGCAGAGCTTGATAGAAGAATACATGGGTCAGTTATATCCTGAAGCGACATTAATATGACAAAAGCACCAACTGCATTGGCACCCAAAACCCTGCCACATGGTCTTGAGAATGAAGCTGCGCACAATGTTTCATACAATGAGCCAACAGACGTTCCAATGGTGGCTCAAATTTTGGGTTTTTCTCCTTCTGAGTTTTGTTTCATGTTGCACAGGGTTTGTTGATATTTAAATTTTAGGGCGTTATTGTTCGATTTCTTTATCACAGATATGCAAGCGGAAAACAAGCATTAATCGATTTGGTGCAAGATGACCAAAGCAATCAAACCAACAGCTAGAGAATAACAAACCCATTAGAAAATCGAGCAAAAGATGAAGCCATTTTTGCGTGCTTACTCTTGTAATCACTCCATGTGCCATGTGCAAACAATCGAAGCACATCGAGGTACACAGAATTTTCAGTTCCTTCAAGCTGCACATATTCCACAGTCAAAAAACAAATGCGTATGAAACAAAACCCAGTAACAATCAATAATTTTATTTTCTCTTTGGCTGCAACAAAATTCTGATTATACATCCTTTGCTCAAACCCAGAAACTACACGACCAAAATATACACAGAAAACTGAAATTCCACAATAAAAAAATAGAAACATGGGAACCTGAAGAACATTAGGGACAGCGATAATTTCCGAAAAGGCAAAAAGAGCAGGGTGGGAGGTGACTTCTACGACGAGGGGGCCGAGAGCGGTGCCATCGAGTGATGAGGCTTGCCTCACGTAGTGATCAATGACCTCCTCTTGCTTTTGCTCAATCTCCATCTCAAAAAACAACAGAAATTACTAATTGCAACGATGGAAAAATCGAGACGAGACGGTGAACAGTTCAGCAGTGGGAAAGCTAGGGATTTGGTGGGTTTGAATTTCGGGGAAGAGATTGAGGAGAAAATAGGGGTTTCGGAGCAGAGATTTTTCAGTTTTTCTGTGGACGTGGATCATGTGTGTTAAAAGCTTAAAATTTAAAATTTTTCATCATTTACATAAAAATACTTGGTATATCATCCGTGTTTCCGTCATAACTAAAAATTTTCCATTTCGGAGAAGGGATCTAAGGGTAGAATGATGCATTGTCAGATCTATTGTGGGCACCTGGCATTCGTATCGAGACATCTCCATATTTTAACCGTCATGCCGTATAATCTTCTATATATATATAAAGGGAGAAGGCCAAATAAGTGAAGCATTTCAAAATGCCAAGAAAGCTCTTTGTTTTCATCACAATCCAACCTTCTAAAGTTCAAAAAACTAGGACAAATTGGTAAAAAAAACCATAACCGAACCAAAAAAAACTGTATTGGAAAAGAATAAATTAAAAAAAAAACATTATACTTATCCTCTAAAATTTAGCAATTTTACGGTTTAAAAAGTAAAACAAAGAAAAAAGTGCGTCAAGTTCCTTATTTTCTTTTAAGGCCCTAAAATACAACATTTTAATAAAAATAAAAATCAGCACTTTAATGAAAACAAATCAATTAAAAATAGAAAGGAAAAAAGAAATTAGGGTAAATTACATAGTAGCCCCTCAGGTTCTCATACAACATCTTTAAAACATTTCATTTTCATACCTCAAGTATTATTTTATTTCAAAATAATACATCCGTTACATTTTTCGTCCATTGATCCGTTAAGTGCTGACGTGGCTGCCACATTTATACTACGTGGCTGCCAAATGTATGCCACGTGGCAAAAAAATATTTTTTAAATTTTTTTTTAAAAAAACACCTGAACCTTCTACATTTAAAAAATTAAAAAAATTAAAAAAAAAAACCAAAAGCCAAAATCAAAAGCTGAACCGGCAACCCACCCACACAACCTGCAACCAGAAGAACAAGAGAGGAAAAAAAAAACCCATCTTCATCTTCCCCGAGGAGGTGGAGCTGGGTGCAGAGAAGGAGGTGGAGGATGGGTGCAGACCGTCGGACTTCGCCAGGTACGCGATCTGGGTTTTTTTTGTTGGGGGAGGAATAATGGGATCTGGGGTTTTTTAAATGGGAACTAGGCAATCTGGGTTTTTTTTTTAAATGGGAATGGGTGATGGTGGATGGCGGCGACGAGAACCGATTGCAGTGATGCAGGACAGAAACGGTGCAGCAAGGATGGCGATGGAGTAGCGGGCATGCAATCTTAGGTCAATCGGATCTAGGCGATGGGTTGGCGCGAGAGATTCAAGCAGGTTGCGAGACTGGTTCAAGGCGTTGGACAGAACGGCGGCAGATTGGTGGCTGGTGGTCTGATGCTTGATGGTGGTGCAGTGGTGTAGTTCAGAGGTGGGTCGATCTGGTAGTGGACAGGTTGGTGCGGGTGGATCTGGTTGGGGATTAATGGGATTTGGGGTTTGAATAATGGGAACTGGGTTTTTGCAGCGAGGGGGGTGGTAATGGATCGGGGTTTCAGAGGTGTTTTTTTTGTTTTTTTGGTTCAAGGTTGCCGGGGGGGGGGGGATAATGGGATCAGGTTTCAGAGCTTTTTTTTTTGGTTCAGGGTTCAGGTACGGGGGCTTTGGGGGAGGGATTTGGATTTTCTATTTTTTTTTTTTTTTTGTAAATTTAGAAGATTAAGATTTTAAAAAAAAAATTATTTTTTTTTGCCACGTGGCATACATTTGGCAGCCACGTGGTATAAATGTGGCAGCCACGTCAGCACTTAACGGATCAATGGACGGAAAATGTAACGGATGTATTATTTTGAAATAAAATAATACTTGAGGTATGAAAATGAAATGTTTTAAAGATATTGTATGAGGTTGTAATAGACCTCAAACCTGAGGGGCTACTATGTAATTTACCCAAGAAATTAACACAACTAATAGCAGTTTAACAGGAGTAATCTTTATATATAAAGGGAGAAGGCCAGTTTGGTGAAGCATTTAGAAATGCCAAGAAAGCCCCTTCGTTTCTTCACAAACCAAATCCAGAAAAATCGGAAAATGAGGACAAACTGGTAAAAACAAAAAAAAAATGTGTTGAAGAAAGAAAAAATCAAAACAAAAAGTAAATACGTGCTAAAGATGATGCAGGAGGAATAAGCCCCAACCGGTAGACAGTTTACTCTGAAGGATTCCCACAATCTGGACTGAGTTTAGTGGGAGGTTTAACAGTAACTACCCACACCCCACAAATATTTAGAGATGAATAATCGGAAGGAAATCCATTTTCGTTTTCACCAGATTAGTGTGTGGTTTCCATTTGTTCCAAATAGAAAAATGATTGAAAAAATCAGACACATATCTCCTTCTTTGTTGTTGCCGTTCTGGGTTTTGTGCTCTGCATGCAACGGCCTTTTCAAAATCAAGTACACCACTTTCTAAATTATGAATTAATTTTGTTTGTTGCATTGACTTCAAATGGAATTTTGATTTAGACAAATTAGATCGGAGAAGGAATTCCCACAGTTGAACCTGAGCCCGTAGACAAGTGCGAGGCTCTCAAGCGATTGCTCACTCTCATCGCCCAGTGCTTCCAAGTCTCCAATTTCTTCCCTGAGGTCGGTCTCCAACTTCATCACTCTCAAATTCGAATCCGAAAATTAATAAAAATTTGAAAAAGCCAAGAAAATAAAGAGACCTATCAATTTTGTAATTTGAATTCCGTTTCGACTGAATTTTGTACTGTTTCCTTTTCGTTTCTTTGGCTTTTGATTTCTATCTCCTTTTTATCCTGCGTTTTAATTTCAGATTCTAGGATTGTTTTTATTCATCCATTTCCCCAGTTCTTTCCAGTCTTTTCCTGCTTTTTCCCATACGAAATGCATTGCTAGAAGGAGAGATAGAGGTACTGCGTTGTCCGACAGAGGAGGGATAGGCCGAGCAGCATATGGCCATTTTTAATGGAACCAAAGTCACACGGGCCACAGCCCACAACTGAGTAGGTGTCACTGACTTTTTCAAAGCTTTTATTTCATTTATGCATATAGTAAGTATCCTTAAAACTCTTGATGTATGTAAATCTGTTATATGTTGCAGTATGCTTGCAGAACGAGGTTGCTTTAGACATAGTAAATAGTACAATAATCAAGTTCAATCCATTTTTCTCAATAAAATGGTACTTTTTTCCTATTCTTCAAATTTACTCAAGGTTCTATTCGGAATCATTGTTAATGTTGTGTTTCTTCGTTTTTACAGGGAATGAAACTGCTCTCTTCGTCTTCTTGATACCCACATTGATAGCATTGATCTTCAACAGTTAAAGGTGAAATCTCATCTACCTCCAGTCCCTCATGAATAATTTTTTTCCTATCCCTTTTGTAAATTTATTTTTGTTTGCTCAGTATGACGATTTCAGGGCATGCTTTAGTTTACAGTCTTCTTTTCCTTTTTCAATGCATGTATCAATTTTCAGCACTTTAGTGTGTGGTGAACATTCATTGACATATCCCTTTTTTGTGTGTGCAAGGGGGGGCTTTCCAGCATCAAGGTACAACAATTTTAATTTCAATGGATTTTGTTTTCTTTATAGGGAGTTTTTGTTTATAATAATCCATTTTCCGATTAATCGTGCTTTTTCCATTAGGTTTTCAAATTATTTGTATTCGGTGCAGGCGGTGGAGATAAATGTGATCTGGTGTTGTGTGGGCGAGACAATGTAGGGTTAGTAGTTTGAAAATTTTCCAATTCTTTCTCTATTAGTCAATGTATTTTATTGATTTTTGTTCCTTCTATTGTATAAAAAACTTGAACGAAACTCTTACTGGGTTTGTGCTTCAGATTTTTGTCCTGCCATGACTTTCTACTATTTTGATTTCTTTGAAATTCGTTATCTGAACTTTGTTATCTGAATTTGGTTACCTAAATCATGCTTAATATTTGATGTGGTCCGCGGCTTTGTATGCTAGCTGGTGTTATTTGGGGGTGTTTTTAGTTATAATGGGAGACATGGCACATTAGTTATATATGTGCTCATGAATTGATTAGGATTAGGATAGTATAGTTTTCGCTAATTTATCCGTTTTTATTCTCTGTACTATTATAATCGTCCGCATGTATATTGGGACTAAATTGAATAATGATGCTTCCTTTTATTCTCAGTGAAAACACATACCAAAGCAACAAAGCTATGGTGGTGGGAATAATCGTTCTCAGGTATGTATGGTAAGGATGTGTGATATGAATTAGTTTGCCAAAGTTCACTGTAAGTAGATTGTACATATTTCATTCTTTGGGATATTGTAACTGTATTTTGGTTCATACTGGGGAATAGATTGCTTCTAATTACAGCCTTTATGATGGTCACATTAATTCTCGCATATATTGGGCAATGCAGTTTTGTTGGTTCATATTAGGGAATAGGTTGGTTTTAATTAGAGCCTTTTTTATGGTCGCTATTAGTTCTCGCACATATGGGCAATGAAGTTTTGTTCTTTATCAGTTGTAGCGACATACTAAGTCATGATTGTTGCAACCTCTGACCTTGAACATTCTTTTTCCTTATTTAGGTGAAGTTTGCAATCGAATACATGCGAAGACCTATCCAGAAAAATGCAAATTTTGACATAATGAACGTGAGCATCATTAACGTATCTTATCCATAAGTATTTTTTCTATCTGTATCCTCATAAACTTAGTTTATCTTTATCATTTTCCTCATAACACTACATTAGGGGAGGCTCATGATCCTTATTATTAGGGGTGGGTTCGGTTCAAATCGGTTAGGTTTTTTGCCAAAACCGAAACCGAACCGAAATTTCTGTTCGGTTTGGTTCGGTTCAATTTTTTTCGGTTCGGTTTTTTCTAGTTCGGTTTCAGTTCAGTTTCGGTTTTTTTTCAAAAAATGAAAAAATTCGAAATCTTAAATTTTAACATATCCAACACAATCATAACATAAATATTCCGACTAGACTTAAAGATAATGAAAATAAACATTTAAAGTTCAACTAGAATTATAACATAAAGGTTTTTTTTAAATATTTTGGGTTTAAAGTTTAACTGTAAATATATTTCTTTTTAGACGATGATGATGGAGTACGACCTTATTCATTCCTCTCTTTCTCTCACTCTCTCTCTCTCTCTCTCTCTATCTCTCTCTCTCTCTCTCTCTCTCTATATATATATATATATACATGTATTCTTCACTAGCAATAAGATAAACATTCTATAATATAATATTTATTTTGATTATTGTCTAAGTCTCGGGTTCGAGACTTGGGAGCAGCCTCTCCATAAATGGGGGTAAGGCTAGCCGACATTCACCTCTCCCAGACCCTGCGTAAAGCGGGAGCCTTGTGCACTGGGTACGACCTTTTTATATATGTGGTTACATAATATAATTTCTACATTCTGTGTTCAGCTTCTACCACCGGCAAATTTTGAAGAGGTGTTCATCAATATTTTTGAATATATTGATATACTTTTCAAAATTATTAAGCCACGGAAGCTACTATACTTGGCCATAGGTGAGAAAGTTTGAATTTTGTTTTTGATCTCGTAGTGTTTAATAAACTCATGAGACTTTTATACGCTGTTTGCTTTCCCTAATCAACTGCAGTGCAGTTGAGATATGTGTTCTTTTATATGTGTTGCACTTAATGATATAAACTAGAAATATTGCATGTAATGGTATAAGTTCTAATTTTTGTTGTAGATGGAGAAGCTGAGAAGACAATTTAAATTGGAAAGCAAACAAGTCCTACCAAAGCAGCAGTTCAAAGTATCATATTCTATATAATAAAATCAAATAATTAAATAAATAAAATTAAAAAACTATTAATTTAATTATTTCGGTTCGGTTCGGTTCGGTTTCTAGACCACCAAAACCGAACCGAACCAAAAGAGTTCGGTTCGGTTCGGTTTTTTCGTTCGGTTTGGTTTTTTCGGTTTCAGTTCGGTTTGGTTTTCGGTTTTTTTCGGTTTCGGTTCGATTTGGTTTTCGGTTTTTTGAACCCACCCCTACTTATTATCATTAAAACAGTTGTGTGGTACATCGAACGATCCTTATTATCATTAAGACTTACACCTTATCTAACCATTCTACATTCGAATTCCAGACAATAACTGGAATCCCCAATCTAACCAACTCAACATACGTGTCTACAAAAATATAACAAATATATATTATGAAGACACATATTTAATCAAGTCATTTTTAGCAGATTTTGGTAAAATAAAGTGTTCAAAGAGAATCAAATATGTAGTGAGCTGTATTTTGATATATATGCCTCCGTTTTTCTCAACAGGAAACTGAGATTGTATGATGCAGTTGAAGACGCCAACGTAAATGGAACATAAAGAAGAGGGACAAATAAAGAATAGAGGATAAAATACATTAGCTCCTTTCGGTTCTGTTAATTGGTACTTTTCTCCTATTTTTCATTTTGTTTATGCATGAATACATATCCATCATTCCTATATACAATCAGAATAACTATGTATTTCGTGTATCATCATATTTTTGGCCTGAAATCTTATTTGGATGGTCCTGCTTCTGTACGAAGTTCTTTCTTATATGATGAATGACTTCCTCGCCTATTTTGTGTTCATTGCACTCTAGCGTTAGGTGTACGAAAACACACAATTTTTTTTTCTTTCCACCTCAAGTGACAAATTTGTAAACAACCATTAATTGAAAGAAATCATACTGTTTTAATGGCTTGACCCAAAATGAATTTGTATCAAATTAAAAGCAAAAATTTGCAACCCAAAATTCAGCATTTGTAGTTAGCTCCAAGAACCTACTTTGGCCTAATTTTTCAGAAATACCCCGTGTTTTTACAAACCAAAAGCTAAAGGAAGGACATCAAACTCACCAATTTTTGGTGCTTCTTAATTTGTTTTCGAGGCATGAGCAAATCAGAACTTAAAATGAACACCACTACCAAACAATCATGTGGTCAAAAGTAGAACATATTAATGAGCATTTCCAAACCGGGACATTATAGAGAATGCTCCTAAAGGGTACAAATTAAACATATGGAGTCGATAATCTAAACCACAGTTTGGTTACAAAATGTCATTATCCATACTGGAAGCGAAACTAAAGCCTCGTAATAAACCAGTAAACGTACTCAAACAGAAATCTTCTCGGAAAAGTTCAGCCCCGGCCCCTCTTCTTCCCAATTCCAACAACTGCAAATCGGACAAAAAATTACAATCAGTACCTCCCAAATGCACCTCCCCAAGTCACCTGCTTAGAGCAAAAACATTTTTTACCCAAAACTACAGCACAACAATGTCAGGATTAAAAAACCAACATCACATTTCAACACCCATAGACTTCAATCGAACCAATTGTTCATGGACTTTAGGTAGGAAATTACATTCAAAATCCTATATTGTTTGACAATTGCATGAATAACATACAAACTATTAAAGTAAAACAAAAAAAACATGAAAACATTTTAGGATGTGCATGATAAAGAAAAGGTTTCTCTCTTGCAGAATACATAAAAATATATCTTGACAACTACAACAAAAAAAACAACTAATGCAAGACATCGTTAGGGGCGCATAGCGCCCGTGATTAAAAAAGAAAGTGCAGTGTGGATGTCAGTATGTAAACTTTCTTTTCAAAAGAAACAGTGACATATAGACTTTATGGGTATTGTAAATAATGTACATATTGTGATGTAGGCTTTATATTTTAACATTTAGGTTGTTTTGTATTTTGCTACAAGTACTTAATGTTTTCATCTACTCTTTTTTTATTTACATGTACTTACTATTGTTCGTAGGCATCTATGTAGACTTTTTCGTCTTTGTAGAATGTCACAAAATTTGTATTTAATTTAGGTTCATTATGTTTATTAATTTTTTAGATAAAATTTTCCATGGAGCGTGCTCAAAGTCGTGCAAGACAATGGCGTCAATCATTGAGTCCTGAAGAACATCAAAGGTATCTAGCTCGACGACGTCTAATAGCACAAGAAAAAAGACAACAAATTCCAACTCTAAATGATGATCACACTATGACACCCCCCAGTAACATACAACAACAAATTCCTGGTATTTATTTCATGTTCTTTTTTCTTTAACTCATACTACTACAATTTTTTTCTTTCTAATTTCTAATTTTTTTTAATTATGCAACAAGTAGGTCCCAGCAATATACAAGAACGAGTTCAGTTGGCTAACTATGATGTTCAGGTCGACCCCAGTAATATACAACAACAAATTCCTGGTATTTATTTCAATTTCTTTATTTGTATTTGTTTCACACTTAAAAAATTAGGTAGTTTTTAGAACACTATTTCGTGAATTGAAATCTCATTTTATTATTTTGTTCGATACTCATATTGATCTCAATGATGTAGTTATTTTTACTGGTCGTCTCGCAACTTCCTCTCCTTGTGATTTACAAAGGGTTTGAGTGCTAGAAGGAGAGATTGGGAGATGAGTTTACATGAGGTAATTGATACTACAGCAAGATTCATACAAGGTAACATAGCTTTTACAAAGGTTTTTTTGGTGAAGGTTGATCCCAAAAAGGATGAAGGCTTGATGTTGACTACAGCTTCGTATGCAAATCTGGCTTGAGCAGAGTTTGTGTATTTGTTTGGTTGTTTGAGTGTCCTTATCTCTGATTTCTCTTTCCTCTTTTATAGACGATTTGGCTTGGCTGCTTGCAGCATTGATCTTGCCCGAATGCAGCTAAAGGGTAGTGATTCATCAGCTTTTTACTTGTACTGCCATTATAAAGTACTTTTAGGCTAATTAGCTGGCTGGTCTACACCACTTGACTTCTAGGTAGGTGAGTAAGTGGCTCAAGTGGTCTGCACTTAGTCGGGAAAAGGGTCTCTTCCGACTTCTGGGCTTCGGCTGAGCCTTGGGCTTCCTTCCTTATGGGCCTTCTTCTGGGCTAACTCCCTTTTGAGCTCAAAGTTCAAGTTTTAACCCAAACAGAGGGAAAATTTTATTGAATAAAAAAAAAGTTACACCTAATCAGGAGGACATAAACCTTACCCCTCAAAATAAAGAGACAATGAAGAAAAGAAAGCAAAAATACAAGAAAGTAGGGGACATACACTTACATAACGGGAAACAAACTTATAACTAAACGTATAGGAAGAGAAGGAAAAAAACCTCAACAGAGAAAATAAACGACAACAACAAATGCATAACATTGTAACAAACTCAATTTCTAAGCCCCCCACACTAGTACTCTAAATTTTCCTTATCATTTGTCTGATCATTCCAACAATCTTAAGAAACAAATCGGGCCTCCTTGTGATCACAACATCTGCAAGAATTACTCCCACTACAAACCCACTTCCACATCCGGCTGAAACAATTTTCCAATCAAATTCAAATATTCCTGCTGAGCTAGAATCACCTTCGTCTACAATTGAAGGTGGAAGTTGAGAGGCCTTAGGATTTCCACATTTCTTTGGCAATGGATCTCCACACAACCCTAGGTTTCCCTCGTATGAAGTGATATTCAATGAAGTAAGCTGGGTTCCTTGTGGTATAAGACCTGTGAGATTGTTGTGAGACACATTGAAATTGGCAAGAAAAGTAAGTCGACTCAGTTGTTGGGGGATCTGTCCTGAGAGCTTGTTTTGTGAAAGGTCCAACGATTCAAGCTTCGTCAAGTTTCTGAAGGATGATGGAATAGAACCAGTGAGAATGTTGTGGGATAGATTCAGCGAACGAAGCTCCTTAAGGTTCCCAATGAATTCTGGAATTTTCCCTTCAAATTTGTTGCTTGAGATATCAAGGGATGCAAATTCTTCTCGGATCTTTGGGTAGTATTGCTCCAAACCTTTTGTTGCTATTGTGAGTTGGTAATCAACATTGCTCCAAACCGGGAATCCATCGACATCATAAACTACACGTGTGTACATATATGTTGACTTGTTTACAGTAATATCTAGAAACACAGATGGAACCGCTCCAGTAAAATCATTGTAAGCCAAATCAAGAATGCGTAACTTCGGGAAATCGACATTCTTTCTAGATTTTCCAATCACACCGTAGAATCCATTATGGCGCATTGCCAAAAGTTTTAACTCTAGAAGAGTTCCCAACCAAATGGGAAAAACATCATTGAAACGATTGTTTGACAAAACAAGATACTCAAGCATCACACAATTGGCCAATGACCTCGGCAACTGCCCCTGCAACTTGTTATGACTCACATCAATCATTCTCAAACTGCTTCCTTTGTTGTATGTCTGAGGAATAATTCCGTGAAAAGCGTTGTTTCCGAGAAGTAGAAGTGTCAGATGATCACTAAAGTTTCCAAGACACTGAGAAAGCATGCCACTCAAGTTATTTTTCGACAAGTCAAGGGACAGAAGATTTTTCATATTGCAAAGCAACGGTGAGATTTCTCCAGTAAAGTTGTTGTCTGCAGCTGCATATTCTCGCATGGTTGGTGGAGGTATCGGTAGTGATCCATGAAACATGTTGGACGAAAACCTTAGACACAACAGTTTCACCCAAGGAAGGACAAGTGGAGGTTGGTCTGAAATGAAGTTATTGGAAATGTCTAACAATAGCAAAGTTTCTAAGCTTGTATTCCACATCCATCTTGGTACTTGGCCTCGGATTTTGTTTCCAGCAATTTCCAAACGCGTCAACCCATTCTGATATTGTAAGAAGGATGGAAACTCTCCTAAGTTGCAATTACTCAATCCAAGAACGGTGAACTGTTTAACTGTTGAATTCAAAATTCTGGATTCAGTGACAAGTTCTAAACCGTTCCAGCTTAATTCGAGTTGGTAAAGAGATTGTAGATTTTGAAACATTTGAAACTCTACTGCACCAGTCAGAGTATTCGAATGTAGATACAGGATCTGAAGGTTTGTGAGATTTGAAAATGACGCAGGAACTGAACCATTTAATCTATTAAAAGCAAAATCTAGGTACTCTAGTTTGCTAAAGTTGCCTAGCCAAGATGGGATTGGACCGGTTAATCGACTTGTACTAATCCTAAAAGTAGCCAGTTGGGTAAGGTTTGCCAAGGAATCCGGAATTAGACCTCCAAATTTATTGGCTGAAATGTCTAGATAAGTGAGCTGCCTAAGATTCCCAAGAAAAGATGGAATCAAGGTTTTGAATTGAAGAGGGTATTGTTCCAAAAAAGCCAGTAAAGCCGACTTTCAGTAAGATGAGAGGACTTCTTTGATTAAATTCAGGAAAATATCCAGTCAGATCTTGGTTGTATCTCACACTAAGAGATTCTAGGTTTGGCAGTTGGAAAATTCTCACTGGAAATTCACCAAACAGGTGACAGTCCCTGAGGTAGAGGGTTGTCAAAGATGATAAATTAGCCATGGAATGAGGAATTGCCGAAGATACATTTACAAAACTGAGAGAAAGTACTTCGAGACTGGTTAAGTTTTGAACTAGGCTTCCAAGATCTGATGCTTCAAGTTTCAACAAGGGATAATTCCTCTCTTCTGACGACTGATGATCCTTATCTTCTGACAATCTATCGAGATTGAGAGATAGATCAAGGTATGTCAACTTGGATAACAGTGAAAGTTCAGAAGGGACTTGACCAGAAAAGACAGAGGTAGAGAGGTCAAGATGAGTAAGGCTTGGAAAATTCCTAATGCTAGTAGGAATTTGAGAGTAATTGAAGTTATTGTCAGAGAGGTTTAACCTTTGAAGATGAACAAGGCGGAAGAGGCTGCTGTTGCTGTTGATAGAGCCGTGGAGACAGCTGCTACCAAGATCTAGGCCAATCACATGACCCGTCTTCTCGTCACACTTGACACCTTCCCATGAGCAGGTGCTATTTCCTCCTTCAGCTGGTTTCCATGATGAAACCTTTGGATAAGCATCGGGAGATCTAGAAGCAGATTTGTCAATAGTAAAGCTGTCTCTGAATTGCAGCAGGGCGGACTTCTCCTCATCAGGGCAAGATGGATACTGCTTCTGCGAAGAGTAGGAAGAGTAGGAAGAGTTAGCAATAACCACATGATGAAACAGCAACAAAACTAGTACTGGTTTTGAAATGCGAATGGTGGAGATATCAAGAAACCCCATGACGACAATATTTTGATTTTTTTTTTTTTTCGTTTTGCACTCTTAGCTATGTATGGAGTGGAAAGTGACACAACTATTTATAGACTGGCATCAGCATAAAATTCTTCCGCAAATTAATCTCTAAAAAGTGATGGAGATGGGTGTAATGGGGACAAGTGCATCGTATCTTCTACATGTGTAAAAGATGCTCTTGACCAATTTATTCGTGAGTTAATTTTTGAAGTCAAGTCTTCCAACTTTTGAGATGGTGTGAAATTAGAAGTTAGACAAATGAGCAGCACCATAAAAGAAAAAAAAAATATTTGCATACACACATATAGTTTATCGCATGAGTTCCTCCTGTAAGGGTTTATGGTATTTGTATTGACACTCTTGTAAGGTTTTATCATATTTGTATGCCCAATTGCAAGACTTATCAACTTTGTATTTGGGTACTTCTAAATGTGTTGGACCTTCATGCTTGAAATCTTCATTAAAATATGTGTAATTTGTATTGGAATACAAAATTAAACAAAAAAAAAATGTTAACAGGTGACTCATGAGCTTAATAGGTTGAGTTTGAGTGACTCATTAGCTTAACGAGTCGAGTGTGGGTCACTCGTTAGCTTAAATGTTCAGGTGAAACCCGACTCAAACCCAATAAACCTAACTTGTTTATAGGTTACCAGCAGATAGTAAGGGGGATGAAAGTTTCGAACTCTCAACAACAAATTAAGACATTAGAGTCATTAAATTCAATTCCTGCATTGGCTTGAAGTGGGATGGATTTGAAGCCAGAACTTTTCATTCGATATCCAATTTCTTCATCATTAGGACTTTCAAACTCCTAGCATATATTAAGTCAAGAGTGCAGGTGTAACGAAATTTTTCATGTTGGATTTGGTCTATGTTGCATTTTTCAAACCGCAAGCCCTTTTTTCATCAGAAAAGAAATATCTCATTAACTCAAGAGAAAGCAAGGAAGAGAGATACTTCCACTTGGAGTTGAAGCCCCAAGCCCCAACCATAGGAAAACTGCAGAAAAACGTATTTGGCTCAATTCTAATTTTCATTCATTCTCAAATGTACAATATATATTAAATACAAATATATAGATTATTTACAAATGCACGCCATTTGCTCTTGCGTGGTGCTATCCACCCACCCATTTTACCTGTCACACACCACTCCCAATTTTCGGACGTCGGGTCATGTGAATGGTAGAAGATCAATGTACAAAAATTAACAAGTGTGTGTATGAAGTAAAATGGGGTGTGTGAATAGCATTAGGAGAAATTAGATTCACATCCTTCATTTTCCTACTCCATTGATTAAAACCTTATTCCTTTTCAATTTTTGATCAACGTCGTTGGATATTAATAATATCATTTATTATTTCAATAATAATTTTTTTTAAATATATTCCTTTAGTGTTAAAAATGTTACAATTAGTATATTTATATTTATGGCTAAATTTTTTATCATATATTTTTATTTTTAGTTTGTAACCATTTTTAATTTGCAAACCTTTTTTAATTTGTACCAATTTTCTTTTCAGTTTTAATTTGTACCCATATATTAATTTCTTTTTGTGCCCATATTTTTTAAAGTTTTATTTGTATTTGTGTCCATGTATTTACCGTCACGTGACATTGTATAATTAATCAATAATAGAAAAATTACATATGATATATTTATGTTTTATGGCTAAACTTTGTATCATATATTTATATTTTTAGTTTGTACCCACTTTTAATTTGCAACCTTTTTTTTAAATTTATTGTATTTTCTTTTTAGTTTTAATTTGTACCCATGTATTTTTTTTTTGCACCCATATTTCTAAAAATTTCATTTGTACACATAATTTTTTTTAATTTTTTATCTGTACCCTAGAGGTCGCACTTGGTGCGATGGCAAGTGCCTTCGCCCATGAGCGGTAGGTCTCGGGTTCGAGACTTGGGAGCAGCCTCTCCATAAATGGGGACCCTGCGTAAAGCAGGAGCTTTGTGCACTGGGTACGACATTTTTTTTTTATCTGTTGTCACAGCCCGTCCCGGGATTTTATTCATCGAGGACGTGAAAAGACGGATTTACCCTTAGCGGGTATTAAGGTATGTGTGTGTATGATATATTATTTGGACTAAATATACATTCCTAAACTTTTGGAGGAAATAATTTAAGTTGGATTAAATTGGATTGTATTTTGTGTGGTTAGGGATTAAAATTAGTATGTATGGTTTTGGTTGGACCACACACCCATTCAACCCTTCTCTCTCTCTTCCCCGTGCTTCTCTCTCTCTTCCTCTCCGTTCAGTCTCTCTCCCTCACTCTCGAACGTACGGACAAGCTAGGAACCTCCCATTTCTTCACGGATCGAAGGTTCTAAGGTAAGATTTGAACACCTAGTAAGCTTGTGAGTTAGTATATGTGATTTTTGGAACTTAAAACCCTCAGAATCATCGTGAAACCATAACCCCGAAAATGTGCACTGTTCATGCACACGTAAAATCTTGCATTTCAGGCAATTTCAAGCTCACATTGAGCTTAAGGAGATCCTCACGAGCTTCGGGGTACTTCGTTGGTAGAATTTGGACGTCGGAGGATCAAGATCGGAGTTTTTCAAAATTGGCCGGATTATCGTGCTTCCTCAGGTAAAATCTAGTGGATTTTGGACCTTGAAACTAGTCTATTGTGATTCTACATGTTGAGGGCTTCAAATTGATATATTATACGAAGAAAATGGTTGAGAAACGAAGGAGAACGAAGCATTTGAAAATTCTCCGGTTTCGGCCACCGGAAAAACCAGTCCGGCGAGCTCGCGAGGAAGAAGGTGCGCATGGGCGCGCGTGGACCCGTGCCTTCCCTGGCGCGTGGGGGCGCGTGCCACATCAAAAAATTATTTTAAAAATTTGTCGACGTCCGTGACGTCGAGTAGGTCAATGTGGTATATTCATATACCCAAATTGAGCACCGTATGAGAAGTTATTAAGAATTGTTGGTTAGGTGCTTTAAATAACGTTTTATAGTTTTTGCATTTAGGTGAAAATATGAATTGACGATCCGACCGTTGGATCGTCACCAACTTTGATGCGTTGTAATACGTAATATTTGAGGATTATAGGAATTTACGGATTGAGAATCCGTTTGCGGATCTTCCGGAATTGGAGTTGTAAGTCTATAATATAGAATGTTAACCGTCACTTGGTTTTGTTAATTGACGGAGATCTGACCGTTGGATGGTAAGGAAATTTTAGGATGTTGTCCTAGAGATATATTGTGGACCTCTAGAAGTTATGGATTTAAAATCTGAGTGGCAGATCTTCCGGATCGAACTGCGTAGTGACGTATTTTATATAAGTTATATATTCTATCGATATGAATTCTGAGGTTGGATTTGATTATTGTTTTAGGCGCCGATTGTCATGACGCCTTGGCGTATTGTGCTAGGGAGTTGTAGGGCGAACTCCAGGTGAGTGGGCAGTTTTGATTTCGTATTACCTATATACAACTGTTTTTCCTAGAAAATTCGTTTTTATGAAAACTATGAATTAAATTGCCATGCATGCAATTGTTGAGATATCTAGTTTGATAATTGATACTTATATATGTGAATTGACGCGTTGGACGCACATGTGAGTTTTATTATTATTCAGATGAGTTATTTTATATGTATTGCATTGAAAGCTCATAACCTGCACCTAGGTGTTAGTGCTTATATTGTTATTCACCACACCGCACGCTCGTCTTGGATCCAAGTAGGTGGATGTCGTACAGACCATGTGAGGGTTCCGACATGCTAGTCGTACAGATCACTAGATGTGATTCCGACTAGTGGGTGACCTTAGTTATGCGCGCTGATGATTGATGAGAGAAGCACTAGAGCGTAATTGTACACCTGTCATCGTACAGACTACTATAGGTAGTTCCGAGTGACGTGCAGAGTTAGGCCGTACAGGTCACTGTGGTGACTCCGGCTGAGTGGGATGTTGAGCTTAGAATCAGCCGTACAGGACCATTGTAGGGTCTCCGGTTGATTTATTATTTCACCTGATTGATATTGATGCATTCTGATTATAATTTGGGCATGGCATATCATTTCTGAGATGTTATGATGATGGATATATGCTGAGTTATGATGTTGCGTATATATATATATATATATATATGTTTATATACTATTTTCTGGGAAAATATATATATATGTTTATATACTATTTTCTGGGAAAGTATACAGGTTTTACGGAGAGGGGTTAGAAATGTTTTAAATGAAATGTTTTCAAAAAACTTTGTTTTACTGACCCACTCAATTTTGTTTTGCGCCCCTCCAGGTTCTAGATAGCAGAGCTTTGGTGGCCACGAGGAATCCAACGGTGTTTTGACAGAATTCACAAAAGTAGGACTCACCCTCGGGTGTTTCATCTTAGTAATTGTATTTTTTTTAAGCTTCCGAACTGTGTAAATGGTTACGTCACTCTCACGTGACGGCCATCATGCCCTCCTTCGGGATGGGGTGTGTCAGTTGGTATCAGAGCCTAGGTTGCAATTCTGGACATCTTGAGAAATTCCTAGTGTCTTCTGTCAGAACGATACCGCCTCGTAGCGAGCCACGTAGTTCGGATGAACCTAATTTCCCTGATATAGTAGTTTGGGGGGAAATTATTGCCATTATGATTCAGTCTATTATCTAAAGGAACCTTTGAGACTGGTTATAAGTTGAATTTGAATCCCTTTAGGGATATGAAGGACCTAAGGGAGCAGATTGATGGCTTAATCATTTGGGAAAAGGCGTTTCGGATTATGCAAAGTCAAGGGAATATTCCTCTCGACAGGTGGGTCGAGATGACTACCTAGTTTTTTAGTGTTGAATCTGCATTCTGATGGAGATAGGAATGTTATCCGATGATATCGGAAGGACAGCTGTTTGGAAGTTGTTTAAAGAATTGTTTAGAAAAAGTTCATTCCTCCGGCATATTGTGATGGTAGTAAGCAAGAATTTGCAAATGTGAGACAAGGAAAATGAC